CAGCTGGAGCATACATAACAGCAGGAGCATACAGCAGGAGCATGCAGCTGGAGCATACATATAGCGGGAGCATACAGCTGGAGCATACATAACAGGAGCATACAGCAGGAGTATGCAGCTGGAGCAAACACATAGCGGGAGCATATAGCTGGAGCATACATACAGCAGGAGCATACAGCTGGAGCACACAGCAGGAGCATGCAGCTGGAGCATACATATAGCAGGAGCATACAGCTGGAGCATACATACAGCAGAAGCATACGGCTGGAGAGGAGGATGGCTGTGAGGGGTGGGGCAGCCAAACAGCGACCTGTCTGAGCAGGACGGGGTCAGGCATCCGGTGCTGTCACCTTCCATCACGTCCTCAGTCACAGTTCACCGCAGGCCAGCCCGGTGGCCTGTGAGTTGGAAGTTTTGTCTCAAGTCAGACTCCAACAACCAAAGAAAGAGGGCCTGTCTTCTTGGAGATATGTGCTGGTTCAGGAGAGCTGGTCTTGGAGGCTGCCAGTCGTTCCTTCTAACCACCATCTGTTGGAGCTGTTGGTCGTTATATAGTTTATGCTTGCTCTCGATGTGATGTCACCTGCCTTGATCTGGCTCCTCCGCCTGCCCTGCGTTTTCTCCTCCTTGGCTCTGTTTGGAGGGATACAGGCTCTCTATTCCTGCTGCTGCGATCTCTTTCCCTTACTTGGGTTGCCGTCCCTGAATCTGCATTTGGTATGGTCACTAATGGTGGCATATTTGAGCTACGATGTCCATAAAGCTGCCTGGGAAGATTTTCTGCTTTTATAAGACCTTCATGAATGGTGCCGCGAATGGTGATTTGCTTCCCGGCTGGGCCCTGAGTTCCAGAAGGTTTTCCTTTCTTTTCTCTCATTCTCTAACCCAAAATGACCTTTGTATTACTGAGCTAATAAAGCAGTGCCCCATCCAGTGACGACAGCTTGGTAGAAGTAGCCATAGGGGATATCCACCTTCTACCTTCCGCATTTTTATTCCGCGCCGGCACCACTGCTCCTCAGATCCAGGCATGGATTCCCCGAGGCCAGGCTGCTGAGCACCAAGAGGGCAAGAGCCCCGAGGCCTCACCTGGCCAGTCCTCAGCCCATCCCTGATTGTGTCATTTTATGGAATCTGGCCAAGTTGGCTTAGAAGTTCTTTCGCTTTGTTTTAATTTCCCCTACCTTTTCCTAATGCCTGTTTTCCATAAGAGGAATTTAGACATGTGAGCAACCTTACTTCTCTATCGGGCTCTTAAATATTTTCAGTGTCATAGATTTTATGAAGATGTCTTCATCTGGGCAATAAAGATGCTCATTTTATAATAACTTAATAAAAATAGGTACTCCTAAAATTTTAAAAATATTTTAGTTTTTCCTGAAAGGCTCTCTAGAATTTTTCATTACAGATGATATGCTTTCTATTTTTTTGCAATAAAAAAAAAGCCAGCACTTTTACTCTTGCTGTTAAAATTATCTCCATGTAGGATTGTAAAATTTCACCCCATTTGTTCTCCCAAACTTCCCAAATATGGCAATGTAACAGGATTTGTATGAGATGGTCTTTAAGAAAAGTTAGTAATTGGGGGCCTGGGTGGCTCAGTTGGTTAAGTTACTGCCTTCAGCTCAGGTCATGATCCCGGGGTCCTGGGATCGAGCCCCACGTCTGGCTCCTTGCTCATGGGAGACTGCTCCTCCCTCTCCCTCTACCTGCTACTCCTCCGGCTTGTGCTCTCTCTCTTTCTGTCAAATAAATAAATAACAATTCCAAAAAAAAAAAAAAAATTAGAAATTGATGTTTGATTCCCACAGCCTCCAAAAGCAAAGCACTCACTGTGAACTAAAATCAGGGAACATTTGGGGAGGGGGGTGGGGGGATGGGTTAGCCTGGTGATGGGTATTAAAGAGGGCACATTCTGCATGGAGCACTGGGTGTTATGCACAAACAATGAATCATGGAACACTGCATCAAAAACTAATGATGTAATGTATGGTGATTAACATAACAAAAAATTATTAACTAAAAATAAAAAAAAATAAAATCAGGGAACCTTTATGAGGTTACATCTGTCATCTTGCTTGGAAAACAAAGTGCTGCTCACCTGCGCTCCTTCAAACAGCTTCTCTGATGTTTTAAAATTCAATTTCATCTTTTTGGCAACACAAGATTCCTCCTTTGTCAACTCTTAGACCCTGGGGAAATTCTTTGGTTCGGCAGAAGGTGGTGCGGGAGGGGACCAGAGGGCATTTGTCTGAAGGGAGGAGGTCTGGGCACCCCACTGGAAATAGCCTCCAATTCGCAGACAATGCTGCCGCCTGCTGACAAAACACAGGGCTTGCAGACTTTGTGGAAAAATAAATTTCATCTTTCCACTTTCCATCTTCCACACTGGAAAACAAATTTCCATTCGTTTGCATTAACCATACTTTCTTTTTCTGTCTTGTAGTGGATCTTAAAAATCATCTTAATAAGCTTGGGGGAAAGAAAAACACAAGGTTGGACTCAGCTAGACCTGATTCATAGCTGCCTCACAGTGGGGAGGGTCGATCTTGTGTGAGTGGGAAAGGTTTGTTGTTTTTGGTTTTTGTGGGGTGGGGATGGAAAAGGTCAAGGAACAATCTAGAAGAAGTCAAAATTGATTTTCCACCCCTGCTTTTCAATAAAGTGTAGTGCTCGACTTCTGTCTCCTAACTTGCATATACACATTTTTATTTCTTTTAAGTTTTATTTAACTAATCCCCACACCCAGTATGGGGCGTGAACTCACGACCCTGAGATCAAAAGTTGCATGCTCTACCAACTGAGCCAGCCAGGCACCCCTACACAATTTTATTTCTAAAGTAAGCAGCAGTGAGGCTCTTTGCTGCTAAATCACTGTGTGGTGCTTACTCCAGTGAATTTCTGCAGTTCCTCTTGTGATTCCACTGAAATTTAGACCCTTGTGTGTGGGAAAAAGATAGGGCAGCTGTCTTCCTTTGGACCACACTGTTCTGTCGCCAGTTGACTCTGAGCACAATGGCAGAGCATCTGGCTCAAGTGCACAGACGTCAGCGGGGGTGGGAAGAGCCAGTCATCTATCTATTCCAGACTCAGAGAATGTGGAGACCTTCCCTGCTTCCTACAACGGCAAGCTCTGAGCCCGATAAAGCTTTGGAGGACCCAGAACCTGTCCATACCCTCTTTACAGATTCCTGAAACTCACTAAATTGTGTGCATTTGAAATGATGTAGAAGAGCTAGAAACTGTCGCTTTGTCATTTCCGTATTGTTTAGGAAACACCTACTTGTCCTTTTTTTTTTTTTCTTTTTGGTTCATGGCTATGAGCTTTTGAGCTATGAAGCTAAGGCCTAAAACACTGAAGTAAAAATGGAAGGTACAAATTAGTTGTCTTCCATCTGAGAACATTAAGAGTTTGAGGGCTGAACTGTTGTGATTCCTCCCTTATTTTATCCATCTGTCCAATTTTAGCCTCGGTGATTTTGCTAAAGATTCTAGGAGTATTATGACTCATTTTTATGCTTCCTCCCTATTTAGAGACCATTTCTCAAAAGCAAAATGGTAGCAGGTAGCTTATTCCTACACAAATGTGTTCATAAAATTGCCAGTTTAGGGTAGGGATTTCCTAAGGAGAAATATTATTATGGGTGTTTGTAAATATTTTCATATTCTTTTCAGATGAAGAAAACAGTTCTTTCCAAGCCATGTTGAGTTATCCCGTGCTATTTATAAAAAGCTAATCTGGTCTCAAAGAACGATTTTCCCACAGTCCAATTCCAGGGACTTGAATCCTTGATAGCAGTAGTAATTATTGAACAGACAGCTGTCTGCTAGACCCCATCCTTCTGGAGTGTGGATTACATAAACTGAGGAGTAATAAACATTAAAAGCATGCCTGATATTAACAAATTAGACCCTTGTACTCTTTCTGGACAAGAGGGATTTGTAACTAAAACATCTGTTCAGTCAAGCCTTTTTACCTTTGAATGGAGAGGAATAGCTGGTGATCCTGCAACTCAGTTCTACTTTATGAGGATTGGGTGACAGATATTTGCAGTGCGCTAAACACACTTAAGTCCTTAGCTTCAAGACTACTGCAAGCACAGACTTAACAGCATTCGTACTTCGCATCACTACTTGTGACAAAGCAGTGCTTGGGAAACTGGCTCAAGTCCTCTGAGGACAACAGGTGACAGGTTTGACACAGCTAGCTACTTCAGTACCCTATCGCCCATTTACCAAATTGCTTCTTGAATAACCCTATACATAATGCTTGCAAAACATATCTAAGTTTGCATAATGTAATGCATATTAAGTAGTAGTAACTTTCAGCACTTGGGTTTGTTTTGGTTTTTTTTGGGGGGGGCGGTTGCTCCTAGTGAAAATAGGCTCCGGTTTAGCACCTTTCTAAAGCCAAGGGGTCAGGGTGATGTTTTGCAGGGCCTCAGGGAAAGATCAAAGAGCTACCTGCGTGTTTATCCCCCTCTGATGTGGTCCTTAAAGGCTGAAGCAGTCCTCGTTCTGATATGCGCGCCTCACCTCAGGAGGCAAAACCTTTCCAGCCTTGTCAAGCCTTTTTCCCCATTTATAAAATTAGATGTACACTATCAACCAGATTGGTGAAAACAAACATTTTGAGACAGAAATTGAACACTACATCATGACTCAGTTCTTCCAGTAGATTGCATTCACGTCCCTAACACAGTCTGAAGGACCTCATTCTTCTCTTCTTTGTAACAGACACTATTTTCCACCATCACAAATAAAAGCGAACTTACAAGGATATGTGGCATTTGTCCTTTAAACAATTAAAGTCGAAGAGGAATGAGAAAAAAACATTAAGTCGTCTTTTTTTTTTTTAAGAAAATGGCGTGCCCTTTTCTGGATTAACAAACAGCAAGCAGAGGAATTCCACTTCTATTTTGTTTTATTTGCGGGGCTGTTTAGGATAGCCCACGCTAGTGCTGCACAGTTAAGATCTCAAGCTTACTTCCTCTGGCACCTTAACTGGAAGACTCGACTTTACATGGTACCGAATGTTCTGGGTTGGTACAGGCAACTCCACCTGGCAAAGTCAGAGCAATCCCTGGAAAAGAGAAAAAGACTGGAACTGATCATTTGTGGACATTTAAATGTACTCATTGTCTAGAAATGATTCACTTTCTCTCCAAGCCCTGAGAGTACATACTTTTATTCTGGCTGTGCACTTACCTTTGCTAAGTTCTCAATTATTAATAGTTGGCAGTGATCCAAATATGAATGTCTTATCTGCTTGATACCATTCACTTTACACAATATTTTAACTTGCTACATCACGTTTGAACAAAAACGAGAGATGTGGCCTAAGCATAGGCCTGCGTCCGAACATAGTTTTCCAGTGTCTGATCCTGGGCTCTGCAGTAGTTCATCAGAAAGCCTCACCTCGGCCTCTCCAGGGGTTCTGAGGGGCACGAAATTTAGGTCTTGCCCTCTACGAAATGGATAGAACGACCTGAAGAGGGAGTGAGGTGAGCTGCAGGGAAGACAAGGGCAGCCGAGAGGACCCTGCCCGTGTGACTTACTGGAGCGGCCCTCTGTCCAGCAGGGCAGCGCGGAGCGGAGACCGGGGGCCCTCCCTTGCAGGGCACCAGCAAGAGACGGTTGCCAGAAGCTGCAAGGAGGCCTCGGTTTTGTTTTACAAATCCGATCTTTTATTCCAGAGGTTCTTGTTCTCTGGAAACACAGTGGTTCCTGGGGGCCACTACCGTTCCCCTTTGAGAACTTGAGTTCACATTTTCTAACTCAGAAGCGGAAAAAGGTTTTGCTTATGTCAAGACCAGCGTCTCTCTAGTAGGCACGGCAGGAAAGCACCAGGATTTAGGGGGGGAGGCCATGCTTCAATTTACATATCAAGTGTCCTTTTTTCAGAGAAAGTTCTTACCTTTAAAAGGAAACTCCAATAAAAGGAAACATTTGCTTTTTCAGATCTTTCTTGTTGATTTGAATCATTAAAGAGTATGATCAATTTGTGAATTTTCTTAATTAAAGACATACTGTAAGTTAGGCAAGCATCCCTTTCCCTGTTGCCAAATGTGGGATAAATCGGGCGGGCCCTCCCCTGCCTTAGGACTGAGGAATCCCGCAGGAAGGAGTCCACAGCAGGGAGAATCATGCAGCACCAGCACTTCTAGCTGGAGGCCTATCATGGCCCTTAGGGACTGCAGAAACCGAACCCCACTGTTGCATTTATCATCTTTTCCAGACAGACTTTAAGGGCTACTGCCCAAAGAAAGGTATACGGAGCCCTTTCCCCACCACCACCCAAACAGTTTCTATGAGGTTTATTACTTCTAGGTGATAAAGTTTGCACGAAGTTCCCATTTTGGTTTTTCACTTCTGAAGTTGCAGCAAATACCCGAACCAGGTTTTTTTCTGCTATTCTAAAAACTGCCCTGATGTGCCTTTTAACTTTTGTAGCACCCGCAAAATATTATCATGTCCTTTTCTTTAGTGCTTTTGGTCTTTAAAAGCATTTCTTTCCATTCCAGCAGTTATGGTGGAGATTGGATCCACCCATATTCCCTTTAAGTCATGCCCTGTGGCCTGGGCTTGTCCACATGGTGATCAGACAGCTACCACTCATTTCTGTGAGGTCACCTCACTGGAACTCAAGGTATGATCAGTAACTGAACCTTCTCAGAGGACAGAAGGGAGCTAGACTTTGGAGCTGGCCCTGGTGTGCGTCCTGGTTTCTCTCCGTTAGTGGCTGGGTGACTTCAGGCGAGTACTACGCCCTATCTGGAAATCAGGATACCTGTTTCAACAGGTTGCTTTGAGGACTGAAAGGAGAAATTTACAGGGACCATGCAAAGCATACCCCCGGTTCTCAACACATATTCATTTCTTTCCATCCACGAAGGTTGAGAGATAAACAGTTAACCTTGGCTGATGAAAGTAAATGGTTTATTCATCGTTTCCAGAGACACTCCAGATATATTCGTTAAGTATACCCAGTTCAGGTTGAGGACAGCAGGTCCATGATCTTAACTTTCAAACATTAATTTACCGACCTTTAGTCAGGCTTATCTTTAGCCTTTCAAGTAAAAAACAAAACCAAACAGAAAAGTGGAAAACCCTTCCCGTTAGTTGGTAGGATTATCTTGTGTATTAAAATGAAGAATGTGAGCACAGAGTCTAAGACTTAGGAGGTGCCCAAATTTTTATTGACTGAATCCGTACAGTCATGCAGTCTCTTGAAAGAAGAAAAACAGCCCGAGAACTTACAGCTTGTGGAACCTTCATGCGGTATAGTGCCAAATGCTAAATTAGAAAGCTGACCCTAAATCCACGTCCCGACTTATTAGGGTTCACACATTTTTTTTTCCAGGCAATAAGCACTGTAACCTAAGAGGGAAGGAAGAGATCCACACCTTCCCCAAAGAAAAGGAAGATGGATCTAGTGTCAGGCTCAATTAGACCCAATTGTGATGGCTCTCCAAAAAGGAACAATGCCGCTTTTGTGATATGCTCAAGCAGAAAGCTTGGAAATTTTACAAAACAATCTCACCCCAAGAGAAACTTGGGTTCTAGCTCTCTTCCTGGAAAGAGGTGTCTTTGCAGGAAAGTTTTATACCGCTCTTATTAGCTCTTGCTGGGATCTGTATTTTTTTGTTGTTTAAAAAAAAATCTCAGAAACAACTAAGACCTATGTGGAACCAGGAATGTGAATTACTCCACTGTTGGGAGCATTTATACCCTGCCACTTCCGCAGCCCAGCCACAGGGGTGTTGATCAGTTACTGTCTACCAGAGGGGACTCTTTGCTAGAATTGTTGGTATTCATTGATCTGCCCCGAATTCAGCCTAAGAGCCCTCACCACAGTGGATCCGAGTGGAGTGGTGAGCTTCAGCGCTGGAAGTGCTTAAAATGCAAATGTGCAAGAACTCCTGGCCAACCTCCCCATCCCCCAGGAAAGTGCTTAAATACAGCGGGGCCTGGAGGAGAATGTTAAAAAGAGGGGCTGAACTGCCTTCCTCCTTTCCACCAGGACCCTCACTCACACTGTGAGATTCAGCATGCATGACTGAGCAAGTGAGCGAGCAAGCAAGGACAGCGCTCTTTTAACTTTTCTGAACAATGGCTTCAGTTCCCTCCACCCTTCACCATTTCACATCCTCCCCACACCCACTCAAAGTGGAAAGAAGCCCGTCTTTTCTTCCCCACTTCCACATCTCATGACCCATTTTTCAACAGGACCCCTGGATCTCATTTCCACCCTGGGGAAATTGTGACTCTTACAGATCTAGTTTTTAAAAAGTTCCATTTTGTTCAGTTTCTTTCAATTTCCATGTTGTTGACAGTTTAAAACCAAAAATTATATAAATCTCCAGTCCAGTCACATTTCTAGCAACAAAACATTTAGATGTCAGTAGTAAACCTTATACAGAATAAATTTGTAACCATGAGCTTACTCACACCACATAGGATGCACCAAACTCTATACCTTAAATCCTCCTAGAGTAAGTACACAAACAGCACCTCCTACTTTGGCATGTACCCAAACACACACTGCCTTCAAAATAATTCACAGATACAAGGTTTTTTGTTTTTGTTTTGTTTTTTTTTTCAAAAACATACTTCATATTTCCTCTTTTATTATATAAATATCAGTTTAACCTTTTACTGTAAGAATATAAACGTTTTAAGAGGATCTTTGTTATTATTTATACAAATTCACAAACAGTACAATTAATTGATAAAGGTCTCTGGGTTTCTTTAACTCCATGGTCTCGCATGTTGCTGTGGAGGATTCTAAAAAAATAAACAAAAACTCCAACAAAAATATACATCCTACTCAAAAGCGATTTTTTTTTTTAAAGCCACAAGTCCCAACCCCCACCAAAATAAAGAAAGCCATCTATGCCTCCATTTAGAAACAGATTTTTGTTAAAACCCACAAATTCCCATTTTATTAACAGAACATAGATAAGACGTGAGTTTTAGTCTCCTCCCCTTCACGTTACAGCCCCAGGGGCTCCGTAGGCCAACTCTGCTCCTCTGCTTCCAACAGGAAGCCTCACCGTGTGACCTTTTTTGTGGGGACACTTGGAAGAGGGTGAGGGTAGGGCAGAATTTGCATATATAATAATCATTTTCAAGACACAATCTGCATCTCAAACAAAGTTCAACTCTCATTTCTTCCACACATTTGTGCTATAAATTAAGTCAAGATTTACGAACACCGTTGGGCCCTCAAATCCCAATGGGCAGGGAAAAAAAAAAATTATAGCCAGAATGTGGAAGTGGGACACACTGGATGGATGGAGTTTGGGAAGAAGCCAAAACAAAAAAAGACGTACAAACCCAATGGGCATCTTTCCAGTCTAGGCACAAAAATGTTTGTCTCAAAATATCCCTCTTGTAGAATTCCAGGGCTTCAGAGAAAAAAGTAAACTAAAACGAGGTAGCCAGACATATATATATGTATATATATATAATTTATATATATATAATATATAGACTATATTCAGCAGAAAAAAAAAGGACCGTGATTTCGAATTTCTTCAAAAAATAAAAACATGAAAAAGAAAGACAATTAAAAGGAAATGAGCGTGAACAGCAGAGTACTGTAGGAGAAGTGATGAGAAGAGCCTGGGATTAGTTACAATCTGGAAGGAAGGAGGGTGAAAAGGCCGTGGTAGTTGGGTTTGCTCTTTATACATTTCAAAATAAAAACCAGATCACAGTATTCAAATGAAAGCTTAAGGAAGGCAGACATTTTCCTCAACTCCCCCAGGGTTTTAAGGACTAGGCCATCCCCACCCCCTCCCCCATTTCCAAATGTAAAGCAGTGGGGATACAGTAGCTCAAACAGTCCTCCATCCCCCTGCAGAGAGGAGTGGGTGGGTAAGTAGCTGAATCCGGCTCTCCATCGTCAGGGGAAACGAGAGGTGAGTAAGGTAGGGGTAGCAGAGGAACCCCAGATGCAATGGGAATGGGTGTGTAGTGGGCCGAGGTGCTGGCGGAGGGAGAAAATGAGCCTGAGGCTTCGTGTCACTGCCCCCATCTCATCCGCTACAATGATCTATGTGTAAGTGTGCATGTCGAGTGGGGGGCGGGGGGCGGGGGGCGGGGGCGTGGTGGTGACCAGAGGAAGAACAGGGCGGGACAAGGGGAGCAGGTGCTGCTGCCCTCACCTGACCTTCTCACTGTCCGTCATCTGCCAGAGTCCCAGGTTGAGTACCTTGAGGCAGGGCAGCTGCGTGATGCGCTCCAGGCCGCGCTTGGTGATTCGGGTGCAGCCGTACAGGTCTATGCCAGTGAGCTGGCTCAGGTGCTCAGCGATCAGCTCCAGGCCCTTGTCTGTGATGCGCACACACTGTCCGATGTTGAGCGTGCGCAGCCCGTGCATCTGCCGCACCATGCGGTTGATGCCATCATCGCTGATGTGGCAGGAGCAGAGGGAGAGGGATTTGAGGCCGTCCAGGCCCTGGGCTATGTAAGCCAGACTCTGGTCCCCCACCTTGTCACAGAACGACACATCCAGCCCTGAGAGGCGCAGGCTGCCCATGGCCAGGTGCATGATGCCCGTGTCACTGATGTTATCGCAGGAGCGCAGGTTAAGGCTGCGTAGGCTGCCCATGTGCGACAGGTGCAGGAGACCCGCGTCCGAGATGCCCCCGCAGAAGCTGAGGTTGAGGAGCCTCAGGCCCGTCAGCCCCCGGGAGATGTGCTTTAGAGAAAGGTCAGTGAGCTTCTGGCAGTCCTGCAGCGTGAGCTGCTCCAGGCCCAGGCAGCCCTCGGCCGCGCTGCGCGTCATGCCGGCCAGGTGCCCGATGCCCACGTCCGAGAGGTGGCGGCAGCTGCGGAGATTAAGGCTCTTGAGGCGCTGCAGGCCCCAGGCGATGAGCAGGAGGCCGGTGTTGGTGATGTTGCTGCAACCCCCCAGCTCCAGCACCTCCAGGCCCTTGAGGTACTGGGCTATGCGGCCCAGGCTGCTGTCGGTGATCTGCTTGCAGAGGCTCAGGTTGAGGGCACGCAGGGAGCCGATCTCCTGCACAAACGCGTGGCCCAGCCCGTTGTCAGTGAGGTTGTAGCAGCCGCTTAGGTTGAGGCTCTCGATGTTGGCCATGCCCTGGATCACGTAGCTGAGGCTGCGGCGGAGGCTCAGGATCTGCACACGGCGGATACCCCGGGCCTGCAGGCTGGGGAACAGCGACGGGTTGGCCCGGCGCAGGTGCAGCTTGGCCTCCACCCCCCGCCACACCGACTTGTGGTAGGCGGCGTCCCGCCAGGCCGTGCACACCTGCGCCGCGCGCCCCTTATCCCGGACGTCCAGGTAGCCGAAGATCATGGCCAGCAGCTCGGGGAACAAGCACGAGATGTGGGTCTCCATCTTCCTCCTCCCCCCTCCGCGGCGCCGGGGGGAGGAGGCGCGGGCCCCGCCGCTCCTGTCCCGAGAGGCGACAAGAGCGGTTCGCCCCGGCCGCTGCCGCCGCCGCCTCGGGCCCAACGGACGGCCCCTCCCCGCCTTCCGGCTCCGGCCGCCGCCGCCGCTCCTCCTCCTGGTCCGTCCGTCCTTCCTTCCTTCCTGCCGGCTTCTCCTCCCTTCCCTTCCCTCCCCCCGCCCCGGGCTCCGCTCGGTCCTCACATCCCGGGCGGGGAAGGCGCCCTCTCACTCACTCCCGAGCCCGGCCGGGCCGCCGCCTCCGCCGCCTCCGCCGCCTCGGGTCTAACCACGCCGCGCTCGGGCCGCGCCGCTCCGCCCGCTCCGCCGCCGCTCCCACGCCCCCTGCCGCATCCTCTGCCTCCTGCCACTGCCGCCGCCGGCCGCCGACGCTGCTGCTCCGGGCCGGCGGGCCGGCCGGGGGGTCCCGGGGGCTGAGAGCACGGGCTCCGGGCGCCGAGGAGGCTTCCTGCTGCCTTTGTCTCTCGCCCGCTTTTCAAACCTCCCAGCCCGGGCCGCCCGCACTCCGCCGCCCAGGCGGGGGGACCTGGAGGCCAATCCGGGCCACCGGGCGCACGTTCCTTCACCCCCACCCCCCGCCGTCCGCAGCCAGTTGGGAGCTGCGGGCCCGGGCACGGAGGACGCCGCGGCCGGCGCGGCCGGAGCGCGGCTCGGCGCCGGGCCCGGGGCGAGCAGGCGGGCCGCGCGTTTGGTAGAGTCCGGGCCGGACCCCTCTGCCCGACTGCTCCTTCGCGCGTCCCCTCCCGCCGTGCTCCCCCCGCGCGCGCCCGCGCAATGGTACGAGCCTGCGCTGCCGGAACTGTCGGGGCCGTTACCCTGGAAACCGAGTTCTTCCTAGTCTGGTTGCCCTGATTTTTAACCCTGTAGGCGCCATTTGAGAGCAGCTGTCAGCCGGGCTCTTCCCCACCCTTCTCCTTTTCACCCCGTAGCCCGCTATTGAGCCATTCCCTTTCTGGGCCACGCCCCAACCCCATTCCTTCTTTTTCTTTGCTGCTGACGTCTGCGCAGTCTTTTCCCATAGTTTACCCCTACCATTCCTGACCCTTCCTTTACACCCTTTTCCCTTTATTATCCCTGCAAGACCCTCCTCCCAGTGGTAGTACTCAATAATCATCACTCCAACTCTCCTTCCTTTTTTTACTGTTCCTAATGCCTCTTAACGTGTCCCTGTTATCACACCCCCAGTCTTCCCCAACGGGGCTGCTTCCTACGATTCCTTTCTCTCCGGTCTTGTGCCTCAAATTACGGAGAAATTCGGCTTTATTCATGACTACCTTAGCTTGACCCTGACCCTCCCCAGCCCTCATTCTAGCATTACCCATTCCTGCTGCCTTCTAGCATCTTCTGTTTGTTTCTAGACACTGCTGTGGTACTTTATACGTCAAAACTTCCTTCCACTTCCGCACTTTGTTGCTGAACTGTGGACTGCCGGGAGCGCCACGGATGCCCTCGCATCGCGCCAGCCTGCTTTGCACTTAGAAGAGAGCAGCCGTCCCTAAGCCTTGCTTTATGATCTTTTTCCTTTTCACCAGCCTCTTGGACTAAATATAAATTGTACGGACAGTTGTACTGAGAGTATATTTGTATGTACTAACACAAAGATACTTTTTAAATAAAACACAGCGACTACTGAACTTCGTTTAAGGTGCTGCAAGCAAATGTCTGCTGGTTTATAAACTGGGTTTTATGGAACCAGGGCAGTGCTCTCTTTTAGAATGTGGCTCTTGGGTCTTAAATGCCGGCACAGACGATAGGATTTCAGCATTTCCTCCTAACTATCCCCAAACCAAGAATCTTTGGATCAGAGAAAATGACCCTCTGTACTTTTAATGAACTCATGGGTCCATACAACCTCATACAGGACACCCTGATGTATTTATCAGAAAAGGAAAATGGTTTCATTGATTCTTTGAGGGCCCAAACAAGATATTGAATGGGTTCCCTATTCAGTATGTGAGATTAACTTTTGGCCACCTCTCTTTGCCCGGGAGACCAATACTAGACCAAGTACATACAGATTCACTAATAGAAGATATTTTAGACACCCACCCCCCACCTCTCCTGTTCCTAAATCAGGAAATGCAGAAGCAAAAATTCTTACAAGTTTGCTTCCTCACCCACGTTACACATGGTGTGAGGCCCATAGATTTTTATAACCTTTCTGAAATAATAGACTGTACTGTTAGTCACCTAGATGATCCAGATGCGCTGTGGCAATAAGATGTCACAATTCCGGGCCATACCCGAGCTAATACTCTTCTCCTAGAGTATATCTGGCCTTATATTTGTCTCAGTCACTTATGCCTAAATTTTTACCTTAAACTCTACATGAAAGTCACTTTTTTGTTGTTGTGCTGAGGCTGTAGATGTGTTTGTATTGATGTCAAAGTATGAATCCCAAACACCTTAATCCTACTGTACACAAAACAAAGTGCTAGACCACACATGGGTCCAGGGGAGTGTATTTGTAGACTGGGAGCATGACCTGAAGAAAAGGAGCTTAGTGTTTCTCCTCTAGACAGGCCATTGTTCTCAAGTCTGAAGAGTCATTCAGAGGTGCCCAGAGCACTTTCTCTAGAAGTTGGCCACCTGATCCTAATTTTAGCAAAACTTTTTCTTGAGGGGAACTCTGGAATTTTATTAATACAGAGCATTTGGTTTAATACATTCAAACATATTTCAGGGATTTTCAGTAATACAGTTGTTTTCATGTTCAATAAATAGGAAAATAAACATCAAGAGGCATCTCAGGAAATGAACATTAGTGGACAAAAAGAGGTGTGGCATCAAAGAGCCCTATGCTGTCTGGAGACATAGTGACTTTGTATGGCTTTGAGAAAATGTGTCCCTTTTTGGCTCTCAGTTTCCTCTTGTGACACGAGGGTGATTTGACTGGATAACCTTCAGAGGCCTTTCCAGTAGTAACACTCTAGGGGACCATGAGCCTATATTAGTCCTGCTGTCTTCTCAACCCTAGAATTTATGGATTGTGCCTAAGGCAGGCCAGAGATTAAGAATATTTTCACATGCAGTAGCTTCTTGGGGATTTTGGTTTCGGTTCAGATTTGGGGCACAAAAGTGGATGGAGGGTATCGTGGAGCAGAGACCCTGATAATCTGAAAAAGATGGATACCAATGTAGAAAATCCTCTGGATAGCTGTTCATTTTTTTCCCCCACTTTCCTGAATTTTATTAAAGAAAAAGCAATGATGGTAAATCTCTAGAGTGTAGTCGATTTTCTGGGCATCTTCCCTTGAAAATGTGACATTGGATTTCCGAACACATGCCAGAGTGTACATGGTTCCCAATTGTACTAAGTAGGTGAGAAGCTGAAATCCTAAAGTGTTCCCCAGTCTGTGGTCTGTCTTTGGATTGGCAGTAATTGCCTGAACAGCTACTATGTACGGCTTCATGAATTTTTGTCTGTAGCTCTCCGAGCTCTTCTATGTGCAGCAATCACAGAATTTGAGCAGCTTCATTAAGAACCACATATCCTGTGTCAAAACCAAGAGCTGTTTGCCTAAAGTAACAGGCAAGCCCTCTTTTGTTTGATTTGCTGTAGCAGCTGCATCCTGGACCAAAATGCGAATTACCTTAAGCATTACCAGGTAGTCATCCTGACAGCTGAATCTGAGGAAGGTTAGCCAAAGCCATTACACCAGCCTTAAAAATCAGGATTATTTACATCCAGATGGATCAATGCCTCTACATTGCTGGCACTTTTTGTATTAGCATGTACCAAGTCCTTGTATTTTTTCAGCATTATCTCCAGACTCAAGTCCTACAGCTAAACCAAGAAGCCAGTCAATTGTTTCTTGCCTGTCTTGAATCCTGAAAGGACAGTTAACATCTCTGAGATACTTTTCAAAGAACTTGGGCTGGTCACTACTATGGATGTTTCCTAAATTACCTCTGCCTTCCATCTTGTAGTGTCTGATTTTCTGGTCTTCAAGCCAAACAGTAAAATTTCTAAATTCTGGTTCATCTTTGCAGTTGAAGCCAGCAGGGCTATGGTAGTCGAGGGCCATCAGCCTGCCTTGGAACATGGTCCCTCCTTCTTGCACTAGTTCCCTGGGCTTCTCCGGGGAGAGGGGAGGCAAGGAGGGGCGGGCAGCTCAAGTACTGGCAGCGCTGGATGGCTGTTCGTGTTTTAAGGACTTGTTGAGATCTTTCAACAAGTTGCAACCAGAAAGAAGTTTTTTCTGAATGTGCTTCTGTATAGAAGCAGAAATGACAGCCTTATATAGGAAGTCTCTCCAAAACTTTACCAAGATATTTTTAAGGAACTAGATTTTCAGATAGGGTGTGTTTTTCACCTGGGTGAGGCCTGGGAAAACTGAGAGGCCCAACCCAAATATCAAGCTTACTTAAGGGTGTGTATACTTCCTCATTCAGAGAGGGAAGATCTGGCAGGAAAGATCAGAAGAGATCTGTAGCTTTTTAAACTCTTCAAAAAAATGTAGATCCAAAACTAGTGACCCAGAATCTAGCTGGTAGGTATTATTAGACCAAAGGAGTTAAAATATTTTGTGTGTGCTTTATTTATTTTTTTAAAGATTTATTTATTTATTTGAAAGAGAGTGTGTGGGAGGGGGGAGGGGGGTGGGGGTGGCGGCGCAGAGGAAGAGGGAGAGACGCAGACTCCCAGTGAGTGGTGAGCCCGACTTGGGCCTTGATCCCAGGGCCCCGAGATCATGACCTGAGCTGAAATCAAGTCAGTCCTTTATCCATCTGAGCCACCCTAGCACCCCTTGTGTGTGTTTTATATTAACTCTAAAGTATCCATGGCACAATGTCCATTACGTAGCGGGCACCCTGTAAATGTTGTTGAGCTGAAATGAATGAGAGCAGTAATAACATACTATCTTTATGAAAGACTTCAGGCATATCAAAACTTCTCCAAGAGTCTGGACAACCAATAGCAATGGATATCTGAGATTTATAAAATGGTACCTTTCCAACTACTTTCCAACTTCAAGATTTCTTGACAGCAACATTCTTTTCATTTCTAGTATTACTAAAGAAGAGACTACCTTGGGGCACCTCTTGGTTAGAGA